ATTAAAACATACATTATAACTAATCGCTACGTCTTTTTTCTAGTCCATTGATGGATATCAGTTTGTTGTTTATCTTGAATGTTCTTTCAAGCCATAGAACTACAATTGTTGGTGTGAACGTGGCTCGCTCAACTGTGTGCACACTTTTGTTCTTTACCACAAAGAAAGAACCCCTGACAGAACATGGACATGCTCATTGACACAATGCCGTGTCCGTAAAGAATAGCTTTTCAAAGGTGTTTTCTATTATTCTGATAAACATATGTAAACTTAGTATGCATTCTTTTTAATATACCTAAACATAATTCTCAACTTCTAAAAATATTTGAAACGAAGTAAATACATATGCTACTAATACAAATAATACCTATCTAATTCAAAAAAGCCACAGCTTTTTTGAATTAGATAGGTATTATTTTTTCTTGAATACAGCACACACATGTGCTGTATTCAAGAAAAAATAAAAATAGAAAAACCTTGGATTTTAGACAGATGGATACTCTCTATTGTACACAAAAAGTATTGTACAACCTAGAAATAAATTAAGTAGTACTACAATGTTTTGTTTATATGTTTAACAAAACAGAACTTAAATTTTATTATCGTTTCATAAATATCCATTAGGAAAACAATCGAGTGAGTGCGAGCCTGGCTCACACACTGAAGATTTTGTACTCAAGTTAGTACAAAATCTTCAGTGTGTGGGCCAGACTCGCACTCACTCGATTGTTGTTAAGAAAGACAAATTTAACTTTGATCAAAGTACTCCCGCATACATTGACAAACGTCATAGGTAATTTTACCAAGTCCAATATATAAGTTTATAAGATATTATAAACTTATATATCAACTAATTTTCATGTGATAAAATAACAAATTAATGTCTGCGAAGTGTTAAAATTTGTAAAAATATTATGCTTAATGGACAGTGTCCTTATATTGCATAGAATAAGACGTTTATTTTTTGTAAAGTTTAAAGAAATCGCAAATTGTTTAATTAATTTCAACTTTACACTTTCCTGAGCAAAACTGTCCTGACAGACAGATGAACAATGAAGTGATCAAGGACCCTATAAACAAAGACAAAGAAAGAGGGCCGTGGGAGAGCCAAGCTGCGTTACAATTGCCTCACAGAAAACCGACGTTAACCAATTTTTAAGGTGAAATCATTTTTGAACAGCAGATAAAAGAGTGTATTTTTTGAGATGGAAAAAAACCATTGAACTCTCGACACTGTTACCGTTACCGACACCTCTGTATAAAAGTATCTACATGCATTGGCCCCGTTGACACGAGAGTTGAGTTTGGGTTGAAATACATTGATAATACAACTATAACTAATATGAACATATATTTTGTATTATATACGTACAAAATTAATATATATTATTTGATTATAATAATAAAAAAAAACAAGTTTTCACTTCTGTTGGCTCTCCCGGAGTGCCACTGTTTTTTCACTGTTTTTTAATTCAGTGCGTGAGGTTACCGGACCCGACTTCCCCCTCCGCCTAATTCTGGGGATTTGGTACTTTAAGGGGGCAACGCACTTGTGACTCTTTAGTTGCAAGTGTCCATGGACCCCAGCAGTCATTTACCATCAGGCGACCCGTCTGCTCCTTTGCCACCAGATTATGAAAAAGAGAAATAGCTTCAGAAGTATAGAAATGTATTACCAATCAGTTTTATAAATTTATAAATGAGTATTATCGGAACCGTATTCATCAATTTATGAGCAAGTGGTTTGTCGTAAACGGTTCTAAAACAGTATGACTATTATCATGGAAAAGTGGTATAGTTAACATAGACATTATTAATAGCGTGCAATAAAATAGACTAATCATTAATGAAATTAACATTATTTTCTACATTTTTATTTTGGTGTCAAATCATAAATGTAGAACGACTTACTATACATTTCTCTTAGCGGACCCAAGCATACACACTGCCTGTCAGTAACACCATCTGGTGTTGGGAAACGACTTTGTTTCAGCATACAATCAAGACTTCCATGCGGCACCTTTTGAAGTTGAATCTTACCCTCGAATGTTGTATCTTACCACTAGATGTCATGTCTCTAAGTTTTTCAAATTGCAAATTTTAGGAAATAAATGTTATACAAGTAATATTTTTATCCTAAATTCTTCAAGCTACTAATAGTTTTCAGACAGCAGCTTTACTCGTATCTGTGAAGCCGACATTGGAAATATAAAGATATCATCTTTTTAAGTGTCGACGGCCTCGCAAGACAAATTAAAATGCTTTATTTATTTTTCTATTTTCCTTTAATCTATTTATGTTTAAGTTACTCTTGATCGAAAGAATAGATTTAGGCCCTTCTGTTTAGCAAAACTTTAAATGTTTTCTGAAAGTTAAGATGTTGATTGAGTTCTACTGAATCACCCATACACTCATTGATAAGGCCTATGATGAAAGGGTAACAAACTACACTAAGGCATGGACACAAGTAGATGTGTGATGATGTGATTTCTGTGGATGATAAGTGTAATCGATAATAATTATTGCTATTTATTTTCTTACTTTAAAGCCATTCAACAAATCGTTAGGGAAGATATTATAAACTATTTAAAGATAAAAATCGAATTCGAAATCAGAATTGTAATATAGGCCTTTAAAACAACTTGCAGATATACATAAACAAAACACCTATTTATCCGAAAGGATAACAAAGGGGGAATTAAGCACTCACATTTTGCCAAGTATATTTTGGCCCCGTATCCAAAATCAAGTTTCTGGCCTTTTGAAGTAGTTTAGTAATGATTTGTATTTTACATAAATCAGACTACTTAATTTTATTTTTTTACTTGTGTCTTAAAAGACCTCTGGTATCATTAACATGCACAAAGGGTTAAAGATTGAAATAAGAAGAAAAGTCACACATAACTTTCAACAACATTATGGACAAATTTATTACTTAGATTATCCCTGTTATTGTAATATATTACTGACATTAACGTTTTAATAACAAAGTGCTTATTCTCGTATAAAGGTACACCATTACTTACTTTTAACGTTCATAATACGGTCTTGGTGTTTAAAGGCTAGGTGGGTGCCGTAACAATTTAAATATAGTGTAGTGAATATAGATTCACTACACACCTAATAGGGATATATCATAATACATCCGCTTTTAAAGATTAATGGCGGCCAGACGTAACGGGCATATGGGAATCATTGTGTAAACAAGCTAATTATAGAAAAAAAAACAAGAACTGCGTAAAAATATGTATTTCAATTATTATTATAATTTTCATATATCTAGTGCTAACGCCAAAATTACATCTAGTCATTTAGGCTATAGCGCGTGTGCTTAAAAAGTGTTTTACCCCATTTATGGCTCGCTCTTTTGGCATCGCTCTTTCCCTATGTTACTAAACAAACCATCCAATATGTTATTTTTAATCATATAATTATGTAAGGACTTTTTTAACTAAAAGTTTCAAGTCCTAACATAACAGCCAGAGATCGTAAACCCAATATTATTACTATACGAACCAGATACTTTGCGAAGTTTTGACGATTTCCGTATTTAGAATTTAGAAGTCATATGATCACCAGAAGCCTTCCATTTATCTTCAGACACAGTAAAATGTCTACGACGTTTATTTTAATGTTTATTATTATGTCTACTTAATATTTGGGATTCATTTAAACTAAAATATTTTTTTGTCTTACGTATTTTCTAAACTACGTAGAACAACAGCACGGAAGAAAAATTATTAGAGAAGGAAAACCTGAAACAAATCCTATACTAATCCATCTGGCCAGCGATAATTGTCTGATGCACAATTTCAATAAATGCCCTGTTGGGCTGCATGTTGTTTCAACCCAACTTATCATTAGATAAACTATTCAAAACTTGTAAACTTGTAAAAGGTCTAGAGTGAATGTATGCTTAGTTGTAAAATAATCGTTTTACTAACTTAAAAACTAATAAACATCAAGTATAGTAACAATAAGTAGCAACGAAATTAAATGACTTTTTGCAAATGTGTAACTCAAATAATACAACAGATCATCATTAGAATAGACTAATAAGCTATGATGAAAGTTACATCGATTGAATCTACTCTATATTTTATATAATTTACTATTTAAATTTATATCGCCAAAGTAAAAAGAAAATAATTTTTGTACGTATTTCTTGCTAACGTATACCATGGACATAAAAACCGAAGTTAAACAAAACCAATATTTGTGCAACAACACTTTATTTAATATTTACAAGGAATCTATTTCAGAACAAAGTAATATAGTAAAACAATAACTTAGTCCCCTGAGTTTTAACAGAAAAAGCTAGCCTTCAGAAAACAGTGTACCTACTAGGGAGAAATAAAAATATTATACATATTAGGGACGTTACTCTTTTAAATGATAACAATGAAATTTTAACTGATTTATCCTCTACCGTAGAGTCTTGACTGCTAGTTCTAGCTAGTTAAAAATAATAATTGTGCAGAACGTGGCTTCGAGTAGGCTGGGTGCTATCGGCACACGTCCAGTACTTAAATGTATTTCTTAAATGTTATAAAATGAAAATTAAACATGAAACAAATTTTAATGTAACAATATACCAACGGTTCGTTAATCGTATTTCAGAGTGTTGCAAGAAAAATCTGAAATGCAATTAGTGTCATAGATCGGGATATACTCGTAGTAAAACAATAATTCTTGTAATTATTCTTGAGGTTAAAACATTGTTAGGAAATTCGATGTTGGAAATGTTACAAAGAAATACATACGTGTGTCATAAAATTATACTAACTATCTAATTGGCACATTTCAAAATTGCACGGTGACAAGTATATTATTAGGTGCATTTAAATATAAAATAACAATTTTGGTCATCTTATAAGTTACATTTACACATATATTATTTAATGTTTATACCGTGACTTGACTTTTTCGTGACATGACCAGTAGTTTTAGCGGAACAAATAAATGAATGCAGTATCAATTATAAATCGATAGGTAAATAGTTAAAAGCAGGTAACTGCGTTGAAGTAGCAGCGGAGGACACGACCTCGACCATTGCCACCCTGGCCTCGCCGTTGTAACGCTCTCTGAGGGAAAAAAATATTATTATTACTAGTTTATTATTGATATCGCTATTCCGTACTATAAGGCCCGAGACTAGTATGGCATCACCTGAATACTCAATCTTAGATCTACATAATACAGTTCTAACAAAATTATCACTAAAATAGTCTGTATTTCTTTTTATTATCGTCTTCTTCTAATTTTATACCACTTTTTTACGCACGGAAATCCCTTTGGGTACCGGTTCGGTATTAGTAACCGGGAAACCAGGTGTAGTCTAGGAAATAAATCCCTGGTAGCCCGACGAACCCCGGGACATCTACGGCCTACAGGTGGCCCCTCTGTATGTGAGGACCACAGTGTCCCTTTCCTTCTGAAAACCCAACCCTACACTTCTTTTTTTTTCCTGTGCCGAAATCCCCTCCGATTTCACCCACCGGTGGGTTCATTATGTTGGACTCAAACCAACCAAAAACCGCACACCGTCTCGGATACCCGCAGCCGGGGAACCAGGCGTACCCTAGAAAGGAAATCCCTGGTACCCTGACGTACCTCGAGCCATCCACGACGTGTGGGAACTTCATGTTTCCTTTGTGCTCAACGCATCTTGCCGCAACCCCGTCCTGCTTCTGCTAGGGTGACAGATGGCCTCACCTTCCACCCCCAGGCCTGCGCTTATGGAGGACGGAGGTCGTTCTGTGACCTCCGGCGCCTGAGTCGTCTACGGTACCTGTCCTGTTCCCGGGCCTGCGGGGGCCGGGAGAGTTCTAAACCTTTCCCAATTCACTCCGCTTTCTCCTTCGCTAGCATAACTTCCACGAGTTACACGCATTCTCGCTCCATGGGGCAATCATATTACTGAGCTAGAGGACTCCCACTCCGATGGCCACCATGAGGTATCGCCTCTGCTCCACCCACGCCGGGCATTCTGCCAACGTGTAGAACGCCGTGTCCATGGTCCGGCCACAGCAATGGTGGCACTCTGATCAGACACAGGTGATCTCCGAAACATCCTTTCCTGATGATTACCTGCGTCAGCCGGTATGAGAGGTTTCCATGACGCCTCTCGAACTAATCCTCCATCAAGGGTCTTACCGCTGCAATAACGGCGTGTGGTACCCACTTGACTGGCCAGCACTCGCTGCAGTTGTTGTAGTAGAGCAACGTCCCTCAGGGCCCCCACCCATACTAGGGCCCCATAAAGGGCCATGGATCGCACTATCCCCTAGGAGGAGTCACCTCATGTTAGACAGCAGATGCGCTAATACACGCTATGCTCCAACCAACTTGGGGACTAGACCTCGGAAATGATGTCCGAAGTCCCATCGACCATCGAGTATGAGCCCCAGATACCTCATCGAAGGCTCGATACCGATGCGTGTGCCTCCTACTATGAGGCTGAATCCTTCAGGTGGCTTCCTCCGAGACCCATGAAAGAACAAGGTCTTGGATTTATGCAGAGCCACCTCGAGACCTAGCCTCGGGATCCGCTCTACGACTTGGGCAACCCCGGCCGTGGCCCTCAGGGTTGCTTCACGGTGCGTCTTGCAGCACGCTGTCAGTAACGTGTCATCCGCATAACACGTGACGGCGAAACCATCCAGGAAGGCACCACGAATCACCCAGTTGTAGCCGACATTCCACAGGAGCGGCGCTAACACCGACTCCTGCGGAACACCGCACGACATTTCCCGCTGACCGAGACTGGTCCTACTTGGGCAGACGACGGCCAAGTCCAAGGATACCGCCAGCACCACTTCGCCTTGAGAAACTGCTTCATCCGCCAGATCCATTCATGGTAAAGCGCCCCAGACGGAAACGATACCGGTTGTCCACCCGATCCGGCCCTACCCTTGAAGAGGTGCTTGACGAGGCGCCATGCAATCACTCTTTCAAAGAGTTTACACACCTCATCAAGCAAGACTACCAACACACCGGCTACCAAGGCGGATGGTGACTCCGCCGGCGCCCCTCCTTTCGGATGAGGACCAGTTTCCCCGTCTTCCACAATTTCGGAAACTGGCCCCGCTCGAGGCATGCGCTGAAGAGCCCGTCATCTAGGGCCACACCCACGCTCGGCCTGGAATGCCATCGGGTCCCGGGGCGGTGTTCTTGGCTTTAAGCCATAGCACCGCCACCCTTAGTTCTGCCCAAGTGACCTCAGGTACGTCATAGTCGTCATCGGCTTGGCGCAACCGTGTAATTTTTGGCGACCCAACCCTATCCTACCCAAACACCTATCCTGACAACTTTGTCACACACACTTGTGTGCAACATTTCATATCGATTGGTTGAGTAGTCGAGACGTAAAGTGTACTGCTGATGGACAGAGACGCGCTACATACCCATCTTTTGCCTACCTGCCAGATGAAAACAGCAAGCCTATTACCATTATGTTTAGAATTAATAGTAGGAAAATTGGATATATATTAAAAAGGGAAAGTAATGGAAGGGAAAGAAAATTGCTTATCTGGAGGGATTGAGGAAATTTGAACTTCAACAAGTATAACTCCAATTAGCTGTTGTTGAGAAGTACAAATCTTTTAACATTGAAACAATGTTATAGCAAACAAACTAATCCACTGATATTTACGTTTTGTAATAATATTAGTTAGGATGTTACATCGCTATACACCTCAGCTAAGTCTACATATATGAGCTGCAGGCTACGGCAAGCGTAGCGCTATTAGCGATAAATTAATGTTCGTTTCTTCTTGACGACGACATTATTCATTAACTGTTTGTCAATTCAGAGAAACCTAAACTAATTCTAGTCTTCATTAATGGAAAGAAAACTATACATTATGAAAGTTTTAATAAATTAACTTTTAATCTTTTAAAAATATTAAGCATTTAAAATACTAGCTTTTGCCTGCGGCTCCGCCCGCACATATGTCAGTTATTGCGGTAAAAGCCAATGTCCTTCCTCAAGAATCAATCTATCTCCATACCGAATTTCTTCTAAATCGGTTCAGCAGTTATGAATTCCCCATACAAACTTAAAGCCCCCTTTTTCACCCCTTAAAGGACGATTTCTGGGATAAAAACTATCCTATATCCTTTTCTGAGACTTGAACTATTTCCAAATTTCATCTCAATCGGTTCAGCGGTTTAAGGTGAAGAAGTAACAGACAGACGGACGGGCAGACACACTTTCGCATTTATAAGATAGTTATAATGTGGTATAGTTTTGGACCAAAACTTTAACTTTAGACAACATATCAATATACTGACAGGTCGTGTTAGAAAATTGATTTACGTTTTTAATACCCTTCGACATATTGCTAGTCATTTTATAATACAAAACGTATATGCACTTTGTCGGTCTATTTTCAATTACTGTTTCCCTTGTTGGCGCGGGGCAGCAAAAACTATCTTAATGCCCCTAGAGATAGCTCACAGAGCAATGCTAAAGGTGACTACATCTCGACCAATCTTATTCCCTACAAATAAACTAAACAAATCGTGGAATGTGCTCGATGTATGAAAACTTTCTATACTGCAAATAGTTATGATACAACACCTTCATACGCCATCAAAGTAATCACGACACGTAGAAAAGATAAAATTTGTCCCGTCCCACACACACATACTCCGCTATCTAAGAGGTTTTCTATGTATCTTGGTCCATCCTTGTACAATAAAACCAATGCAAGGTGTAATATCTACGGCTTGACTTACTTTGCCAGTTAAAAGACTGTAGCAAATTTCTAATTATCGCTAAGATATGAAGAAACTGAATGTCTTTTAATTAAATAAAAGCGGACGTACACTCAAACGCCTACACACACTCATACATACACACACAATACATACATGTACTCACGGACTAATAAAATCAACCTATATACCAACAGGAGTCTGGTCAGTAGCCTAGCAGTGCAGTACTCAACCCAAGTTTTAGTTAACACGGTGAAAAATGTCATCCATTGTACTGAATACATGTATACCTACCCAATTTTTGTAAAATAAAAATATATTATTTTTATTAATAATATTTTTTTAAAGACTACATCATAACTCATTTTGTAAACGTATAAGTGATTTGAAGTGGAGCCATGTCAGATGTTTATAAGTTTAATAAAACTCAATGCACCGTTATTAAACTTAATATTTCTCGATAACTTCTTAACGAATATTCTATATCCTATTACACTCTAATAGCAATAGACACGGCCCCATGTGGCTGAATTTCAAAGGTAATAAGCCAAATACAATAGAATATACACTATAAAATTAGTGCGCCACTACTTTAGCTAAAAGACGTCAAAGAGTGTAAAAACTTTCCAAAAGTAACTGGTTTAATTGAAAGTAATAGAGCTAGTTGCATATTTTATTGTTGCATTAATATTCTATTGACTTCCACCTAGAACGATTATTTTTATTTAGTGTTTTACAAGGCGTCGGCCTTACCGTCAAGGTACTTAAAAGGAGTTTAGTGGTTTTAAGTTTCCTAGAAGAATGTTTTATGTGTTTTACCCCCATTTATGGTCACTGCATCATTCTTTTCCTACGGTACTAAATTAACTAATATATTTTTTTAATCATAAAATTATATGGGGGCTTTTGTAAGTTAAAGTTTCAAGGAACGTAAAAGCCGGAGTTCGTAAACCCAATATTATTACTATATGAACCAGCTACTTTTCGAAGACTTGACGATTTCCGTATTTAGAATTTAAAATTCATATGCTCACCAGAAGCCTTCCATTTAACTTCAGACTAAATAAAATGTCTACGACGTGATTTTTAATCTTCCTCCGAGCCTTATTCCCAAACAAGGTTGGGGTCGGCCTTAAATCTAGAACTAAACTTCGAGTTTTCACCCAACTGCTGGGCGATATGGAAGTACTATAGAAAGACTGTAGTTGGACTTTTTTAGGTATTCAACTACCCGTAACGAGTGTCACAGGTGTTCATTTGGCAACCAGGACCGACGGCTTAACGTGCTCTCCGAGGCACGGCAGGGTCTCATTGTGTTAAGAAATGGTCATCCATCCAAAGACTAAACTGACTAGGATTGCTTAACTTAATAATGTGTTAACCTACTCGGTTACCACTGAGCCACGAGTTTATTTTAATATTAAATATTATGTCTACTTAATACTTAGGCTTCATTATAACTAAAATATTTAACTGTCTTAAGTATTTTGGAAACTACGCAGGACAACAGTATTGCAAACAGAACGAAACTTGAAACCTATCTGTCTGGTCAGCGTAAGCCCAAAACCACCTTCCTAAGGAGAAGTTCAGCAGTGCACTAATAAATGCTGTTGATGATGATGATGATAATTTTGCAATAATTGCATGATACCCAATTAGACTACAGGATGTTTTAATCCTTAAGATTGACTGTTTTGAAAACTTGTAAACTCTTTTAAAACGCAAATAAACATCGACACGCTTTGCTAAGTGTAACTTAAATGATACATCAGATAATCATCAAACAGACTAGTAAGCTATAATAAAAGTTATATCGATTAAATTTACTATATATTTATATTGCCTAAGTAAAAAGAAACTAAAATATTTTGTATGTACTTCTTGCTACCGTAAACCATGAACATAAACACCTAACTCAAACAAAACCAAGGTTTTTGCAACCACACTTTATTTACTATCTACAAGGAATCCATTTCAGAACAAAGTAATATAGTAAAACAAAAACATAGTCCCCTGAGTTGTAACGTACTTTTTAGCTACTCGTAGCCGTCACAAAACAGTGTACTAGGGAAAAATAAAAATATTATACATATTAGAGACGTTACTCTTTTTAAGGATAATAATGAAATTCAACTGGTTTATCTTCTGGCATGGAGTTTTGACTGCTAGTTTAAAAAATGCATTAAATTGTGCAGAATATGGCTTCAAGTGAGCAGGGTCCTATCGGCACACGTCCTGTCCTTGTCTCTTAAATGTTATAAAATGAAAATTAAACAAAGAGCTAATTTTAATGTAGAAATATACCAACAGTTCGTTAACCATATTTCAGAGTGTTGCGAGAAACAACTATGATGCAAGTAGTATCATAGGTTGGGATATATCTATACACCCAAGGTATGTATGTGGATCATTGTGGGTATAAATCTGTGTTGCAATACTATTTTTAAATGTAAAGAAATATACAACAAGTCCTAAGGTTCAAAAAAATTTGACGCCCGGTACATCTTATTAATTTGTTACGAAATACTATGTTGGAAGTTTTCAAAGGAAGACATACGTGTATCATAAAATTACATTAACTACCTAATTGGCACATTTCAAAATTGCACGGTGACAAGTATATTATTGGGTGCATTTAAATTTATAATTACGATTTTGGTCATTTTATAAGTTACATTTACACATATCTTCATCCCTCTTACGATATGGAGTGATCTTCTGGGGTAACTCAACTAACGCAGTAATGGCGTTTAAATGCCAAAAAGGTGCATTAGATCTATGTTTAGGCTAAGAATTGTAGGCAGACACAATGCTTATACCTTATTATTTTATCTTTGACTTTTTCGTGACATGACCAGTAGTGTTAGCGGAACGAAAGAAATGATTACAGTATCAATTATAAATCGATAAATAGTTAAAAGCAGGTGACCGGGTTGAAGTAGCAGCGGATAACACGCCCTCGACCATTGTCACCTTCGGCTCGCCATTGTAACGCTCTCTGAGGGGGAAAAAACGTGTTAATCTAAATCTGCAAAATTTAGAAAAATGTTGAAATTAATCTGACGACAATTAAAAATGCAAAATTACGAATTATATTAACAGAATCCAGCCTATATGACCAATCTTTGGGAGCAAGAATGCATATTACTGTCATTGCAGTTCTAAAATGTTAAAAGTGCGATTTTTGCTTTATCATAATTTATCGTTGCTCTCCTGAAGCTGATCTCAATTCAATACATACGTACTCACTAATTTAATGTCTCAAATTTGTGATAACAGACTCTGACCTATTTTTTTTTTACTAAATGTAAGAGACATTTAAACAACAGACATTCACAAGGATACGCACACAGAAACACACACACACACACACACACACACATAAATACACATAAATACACTCACACACAGACACACACACACACAGGCGCGCAATCACGTGCGCGCAGAGGCGCATAAACAAGCACACATACATAGATATGCAAGCATACAATGTCATGTAGGGATTGTGTTTTTTTTTTTTTGCTTCTCTTTTTTTTCATTTTTATTCTTTGTATAAATTTTAATTTACTATTTTTTTTTTTGTATTTCTTCTTTTAGAATATCGATGTAAATACTCTTTTAATACATATATTGGGGGAAGACACTGGCACCTGCAACACAGTAGATACTAGCGCGGGTGTCAGAGAATCCTGTTATAATTGCACAATATTTATGTCAATAAATAATATTATTATTATTAATATTTCTTTCACTCATTTTGTCTTCTCTTTTCATCTATCTTTGACAGTGCATATTATGTACGCAAAAAAATCAAAACTTATTAACTACGAATGTAGCACTTTACATCGATCGCGTATATATTTCTTAATATCCGGCAATATTCACAAGTTAGTGTAGGTATCTGTATCCTTGTTCTAAACCTCTAACTTAGCCAAGACCTATGAAGCCCATAAACTGGCCACTTAAAATATTGTTTAAGAGCCAATTTTTAGGTTCTCCACATTAAAAGAACACTCCACTCCACATTAAAAACATATACCTCTGCAATTACTTAAGTCAAATGGTGTATAAAATAGAAACAATCATTAATGACTTATTATTGTAAATTGAAGATAAATCCTTCGAAAGTATAACATTGCATATGATGGCAAGTAAAATAAACCTACAAGGAATCTGTATCTGTATTATTATTTTAATAAGTTTATTCTTGATATCGCTATTCCATACTGTAAGGCCCGAGACTAGTGTGGTATCCCCTGAATACTCAACCACCAGATGACTGGTGGGATGGTTATATCGGCCTAGCAACTGGGGAACCAGGTATAACCTAGCAAGGAAATCCCTGTACACCGCCGAACCCCGAGACATCTAGCTAATTTTGTAACCCTGACAAAATGTGTGCGTGTGTGTTAAGTAGTCGAAACGTGAGATATACATTATATATCTGTATATATACACAGACAAGCATTAAACACCCACCTTTGGCCCACTATAATTTCGTCCCACACAGATAAAAGTGGGCAAGCCTACTACCGTCAAAACGGCATATTTAGATATTATTAATAGAAAAATTAGAAATATATTAAAAAGAAGGAAGGAAAATTGCTAATACTCGTATGGATGTATTGAGGATTTGCATATACCTAATTTGAACTTGAACAACTATAACTCAAACTAACTTATTCCATTCAAGGAAACCTTAATTACCTCAAGTCTTCATTCATGTAAAGAAAACTATATATTGTGAAAATTAAAAAAAGAAGCACTTTTGATCTACTACATAAAATATTTAGTTTCATTGTTCTATATCCTATTACGACCATGGCCTTATGCGGATAAATTTTAAAGGCTCTTGGTAACAAGCCCAAACCGAATACAATTAAAGGGGAAATATAACAATTTACACTTAAAATTAACGCGTCACTAGTTTAGCTAAAAGACGACAAATAGTGTAAAATTGGTAAATGTAACCGTTTTAATTCAAAGTGGTTGAGTTTAAGAGTTGCATATTTGAAGTCATTTTTTACCTAACAATTATTAATATTGTATTGACTTCCACATACAACGAAATACTTCAATGCTATCTATCAAAGACACAAGAACTACAGACTAACTTCTAATTATTCATCAATCATCATCAAATGTTTGTATGCTCTGCCAATATTTGTTTCGGAGTTTGGGTGTTTAGTATTACGAGTATATTATTAGTGTTGTATAATATGAAGGTATTTACAAAAAAAAACGTATAAAAGCATTTTAACAGTCAAGGTAACTTTCATAGTATAAGCTCTACTTAGTTTGAAACTGGGTGGCTTCATGTGTTAGATGTCCGAAAATATGATTATATCATTATTATTATAAATTTATATACAACTTTCCCGCTTAATGTTTGAACGTTGTGTATATGAATGTTGGGCTGTAGGCAGGCAGGTCACCTCGCCCGATCGGAATATCCTCCTTTTATATTAAAGGAACATAATAACCGTTCCTTCACAAAATAATGATCATTACATCAATAGCTTTTAATAGTCCACTGCTGGACATAGGTGTCTCCTTAGAAAGGAGGTTTTGACCTACCGTCTGGCCAGACGGGTTGGGATAGGGTTTGAGACAAGTTTTCCCTCTTTTTGCAGTGCTAGTGTCCTGCGTTGTTTTGCGCCCTTAGTTAGCTCTTACGACACCCACGGGATAAATTGGGGTAGTGACATTCCGTATTCTTAATCCGTCCATATACGGACGGAAATAATGATAATCTAACCATATCGTTGAGCTCCTCTTCCTCAAGTCTAAGCGGTGAAGTGCGTGGTCCATCGCGATCGAGTTTGTCATAATGCTGTGGCCCCTCTTCATGCAACGCCTTTTGAAGAGCAACCAGCAACCGGTCCAAAACTAACGCTGCTCGCTTCTGAGGAACTACCTCCTAAGAAAAATGATAATTATTTTAAATATTGAATAACGAAATGCCCAAGAGTGGGTGCGATCTACCCAAGACCGGGATGGTTGGCGCTCGTTGAGGGAGCTTTCGTTTAGCAGTGGACGGCGATAGGCTGAAGAGAAGAAAGAGTACCTCATGAAAAGACTTTTGTTTAAATGCTTTGCTATTTAAGTTGTTTGTGTGATTTGAACAAAAATTGAAATATATAATGAGAAAAAACTAAAACTAATAAAAACCGTTGAGCGCGCAATTCAACAACGCGCAGTAACTTCATGAATTATTCAGTTCAATTTAATTTGAATTGCTATAATATGGTTTATACAATAAACAGATGCAGCTAGTTTCACCATATTAAGCTTAATGTCACAGCATGCAAAAAGAATATCTAGTTGGGTCATTGTTCTAAATAATAATATAATTCTAAAGTTTAATAATACAAAATAAGGAAATAATAATAAATACCAACTATAATATGTCAAATTAATATTTCAAAATGTTTGTATTGATGTACTCGTATGTCAAAAGAAGATGTAAGATGTACATTGTTTACATAATTCTGAAGATCGTTATCTTCTTTGTATTCTTTTATCAAATAATATGCTTTACCAACAAGAATAACATGTAACTTTTTCTTAAACAGTTAGTCAAAAAGTTAGGTTATTTTCATTTTTCAAATGGCGGCTTCTTATATATTTTTGGGCCCATGCAGAATATACGTTTAGGAAGTAGTGCAGTTTTAGAGGGTTTAATGCATGATTTGTTACACTTAATAAATATAGCTATTTCGTATACATATAAACAAGGTGAAGCAAGAACATTTAGCTTTCTGAATAAAAGTTTGCATGAATCTGTTTGCTCTAGGCGGGAAATAGCTCTAACACCGTTTTTGTGCTTTGTACATGTAGTCTGCATTGGTGGAGCTACCCCACAGTATTACAGTACACTGTATAACGTAGCGAAGAGTTAACGATACATACCGAGCTTTCTTAAAACAAACGCATAACTATTTATTTTTTTACATACATGTTCTGTGTCCATCCATGACATTTTATGGTTTAAATAAATTCCTAGAAATTTCGTTCTCTGTACCTCTTCTATTACTTGCTCTTTATATTTGATATTTATTTTATGCCTAAAATTTATAGTTTTGGTTTTATCGAGATTGATTATTAAATAGTTACTTATTAGCCAGTTAATTGTATGTTCTAATGTCTGATTAATATTGTCAAGAATATCATTTATTTTGTATTTGTCAACAAGTATAGTTCTGTCATCGGCGAAAAGAGTCATAGAGTTAGTCGTAACTGTTGGAATGATATTGATGTAAAATAGAAACATTAATGGCGCCCAAAACACTGCATTGAGGTACACCACATATGATATGTCGCAGACTAGATGTTCAAATCATCTACAAACGCCATTTGATAATATATAATACACAAATTTAATAATACATAATTTAATTATCATCATCATCTCAGTCGAAAGACATCCACTGCTGGACATAGGCCTCCCCCAAGATTCACCACCACAATCGGTCCTATGTAATTATATCATAAATAAATGTTACAAACAAAACATCCATGGCACGCTTAACACCTATCATATTAACGTACTCTTATGGACTGACATGTATGTGTACATTCATGCAAACATTTATCTATATTTGCATCATTCGAAAACTCCTATTAACAATAACGGTTACTATTAATTTAAGCAATATTTTTACACAACTGTTCCAACCGATATGCTTGCATTAATAATTAAGCAATCAATTAGAGTATTCCAGAAATAAATTTCAAACTTTCTTACTTGGCAAAGTATTTTGCAAGAGAAAATATTAAACTCGAACTTTATGCTAATACAATAAAGTTTTTTTTTTTACAGGATAAGGGCAAGCGAGCTGGCAGGTTACCTAATAATAAATTACTACTGCCGCCAATGGACATCACAACTCAAGATACAATTACGTTGCCATTCTTTGAGTGTTAAGAGGGTAAGGGAGGGGAGGGGTTTAGATAGACTCACTCCGTGAAAAGGAACGGAAGAATCGCTTAACACTGGTTTTCTGTAAGGTCGTTTAATCACTTTGGTCGAGACATATAAGAATGCCATTTGTAATGTGTATATCTTATATATGCTCCTTTAACGGAACACCTTATTTGGAAAGACTGTATTTTTTTAACTCCGATTTAAATGTTTTAGTAATAAAATTACGTATTAACCTTTACTTGTTTTCTTTCCAGATAATTAATAAGGATTTGTTTCGGGTTACAGAGATATGTGCACAAGAAAGTAGATTACAAAAGATTTCCATTAATTTAAAAATATAAATATTTTATATAGTTTATTACATCAGAAATATTTTTTGAACCGATTTGTATAATTGTAGGGTATATAATTGCCATTTGGTCCTTCAAATTTGTAGAAAAGTAAAAAATCAAGGAACGCAGAATACAGTTTATTACAATTCACAAAAGGGAAGGTTAGATACTTTTTTTAAAGTTCATTATTTTATTGCCAATTACTAAATAAATAATACTTCGCTGCGTCAGCGCTGCGTTGCGTTGGTTTGCTTTTACCTTCAAAATTGGTCGTATAATACAGAGAAAGTGGTTCAGAATCACAGTACAGATGTACACCACCACCGTGATTTAATATTCTATACTTGCTGTGTAAGGGAAGAGCGGTCGCGCGGTGCATTAAAAAAACAACCTTATAATTGAATACGGTAGATTTCTGAAGAAAAAAGGTGCAGGTTTTTTAAATCTACATTTCCTAACGTATGTATTACTTAATTATCATGGACATGGAAACTGCATCGGACAAGCCATTTCATAACTAATGTTTTCTAGAACGTGGCCGTTTGTTTTTATACTGTTTTAATCATTCTCACCATAAAGTCATCGGAGTATAAGGAGGCCGGTGCGGCGAGCACTCCTGACAGCGCCAAGATCAAAAGAGGTACGGGGCTGCACATCATCGCTGGACTATCTTCACATTTACTCCACCTGATAATATTATACAATAAATGACTCTGATATTCATTTATTCACATAGTCATTCAAGAGGTTTTTTCTCAAGAAAGAATACATTAAGTTTCTCGAATTGAAGTTACTATTGCCACTTAAAACACTTTAAATCCGCTGTTACTGTTATTTCGGCATTTCAATGACAACATGTTTTTTCTCTTTAGCGTCTAAACTACCATGCGTAGCTGATCCGTAAGTATGTTACCAACCTACCGAAGTTACGGTCTGAAAATAATAAATAAGAGAGCTTGCAACTTTAAGAATTTTATACAATTAATTATAGTTTTAAAAAAACTATTGTAAATAAATATTTTATTAATATATATTGGTAAAAGTAAAGTTAAAATATTATAAAACAACTTGAAAATCCGCTAATCCTGAAGATTCTGATCAGGATAAACGGAAAAAAAATATTAAATTATTGTATTGGTCGAAGTTTCAATTCAAACAGACGTTTAAGAGTTGGTAAAAATCACATTCAAAGATTCCGTTACATAGACAGATATATACAAGCGTGTTAAAATGGAGGTAAAAACACTATCTTTGTTGTGACGTCAAATTATTTAATAGATAACACATTAATATAATTATAATAACAGAGATGTTTCGTCTAGGTTCGTGTACAAGCCCTTGTATTTCAAAGCAATGTAAAGTAGTAAAGTTTAAAAGTGTAAACTTATAAATTATATGTTAATGTTCAATACGTAGAAGTCACGTCATAATAATGAAATTTAAAACTAGATAGAATAACTGTGTAGATAAAGAATTATTTTGATTCTGTGCAGTTTTCTCCTATATTTGTCAACCAAACATAATATTTTAAGTTTAAAAAATAGAATAAGAATTATGTAATAGACTTTTCTTTGGAACAAAAGAACAAATAAATTGTCATCATAAGATTTTATGATCTATTGATTACGTTTATTGCTCTAGGAACGGCTGTATCAATTGCGTAGTTTAAGAAAATTGAGCCTCCATTAATCGAAATTCAAACAATATCAGACTATGCTTGACAGGTTACTTATTTTTTAGAACAAGGATAACTATTTGGACACTTCGTTTATCCATCTGTCGATTGTAGCTTGAAGATCAAATAAATGGATACTAATAATAAAAGAATGTTTAAGGAAAAAACGTAGTATGAAAATTATAATAACCATAATGTCTTACTGCTGTTAGGTAAAATCAATTTTTTTTTAAATTATAACGTAAATTTTCACTTAACATCCTTTTCAGCCATAAAAAATTAAACGTGTCTTATGAAGTACTTCTATAAATATAATAAGTACTTCTATAAACTGTATAAGTTACAATTATTTAGAGTTATTAAAAGTCCAGAGGATTAAGTGAACAGCACCTGTAATTGGCAAGTGAGTATGGTAGTTGTAATGTATAAAAGGAAGGAAGGTTTTCTTCTGTATTCTCCTAGTTATATAAACAGTTAATATAACTAGTTATTAATTTACAAGGCACTTTCAAGTGTATTTCAGGATTGTAGCAAATGGCGTTCTATCGCCTGTGCCAACCACGTACGGATATAATAAAGCGTGTGTTTCAAATTCTAAATTTAAGTATGATGACCTTCTTTTTACAAATAAAGTAGATAAAATGATATATGAGCCAACAAATATAAATCCTAATCTATATTATTTCTTTTTTCTAGACTCCCTAATATAAACAATGATTTGTTTGTATTTGGAAAATGATAATGTTACAGATTAATATTATTTATTTTATACCATCTAAGTAAGCAGGGCACTTATCTTGAATTTTCGCAGCTTAACATTTCAATTCAAACATTTGAAATTTTAAATAAAAATACATCTTGAGCACACGTCATTTTTCTTTAATTAAAAAAAAAAAATTTTGGATTTACGGTAATGACACACACACGCACACGTCAATATTTGATCGGATAAACCAATTACTAGTTATTTAAACACAATACTCACAATTTATCTCCAAAACCACTTGTGCAACTTTTTTACACGATTTCAGTTGCCGTCACTTATAGTAACGAGAATTTGTTGAAATATTCAACAGCCTTCGAAGTTTTGTTCGTAACTGGAGGCACCACAGCGCGCGAAGGCTTATGATAGTGTAAAGCGATAAGCGCTGTCGAAGCCTTTATAAGCCTGCGCCCAAAGTGTTCAACCTATACATAGATCACTATTTTGTTTGTTTTGAAATATATTTATAAAAACGGAAGGAACTTGTAATGAAGTTAATTAACAATAACGGAATAAATATATTTTATGAATCCTACAACTTCATAAAAATATGAAATCATTTCAATATATTGCACGCTAAATATACGACACGCTTCATGGCAAGCAATTACTGGTGCCTATAAATGCAACAACAACGTTTGATTAAAATTTTCTTTGATATAATATGAGCTTTTTAAATTATATATTTTATACAAATATCTATTAATAATCTCTAATCACCAACTTTAAAATACTCCTAGTTTGATCCCGTCGTCCTCCTTAACACATTTTACGAAAGTTTTCACAAATAAGCAACTAGCAAAACTTGGTCAATTAGACAATTGCGCTACACATATGGAAATTTTACCGTAACTGAAGTTAATAAATATTTACCCACAAAATAAATATCATCATTACAAATTCATTTTATCTGGACAATGAGCAAATGTATCAATGACGTACGAAACTATTGAGCTACGTGTTGGCATCTCTCGTTCTTTTTTTTGTATCTAATTTCTATTATTAAGCTCAGCATTTTAGAATGTGTATAAGCTTTGCCGAGGATAAAAATAAAAATAAAAATTAATTTTCGTTCTGCATCATTATATTTTAGACATTCTAAGATTACGCTTCTAAAAAATTAACATAACAATTTAAAAAAAACATAATTTTGAAGATAAGTTGGTAGTTTATAACTAAAAAAATTCAAGAGGGATACTTTTACGAAAATTGGTATTGTTCAGTTAATTTAGTATATAATTTATGTTTTAACTTAGTGTCTGCCGAAAAACAAAGAAGTCATGAAGTTTTGTGTAGCCGCTTTTCTTATCAGGCGGACTACTCAGCGGCTGACCCAGTGGAGAGATTCACAAGATTACCTCAGGGCGCCTTTTATTAAACAAAAGTGTGTGCGTGTGCGCTTTTCTTATCAGGCGGACTACTCACCGGCTGACCCAGTGGAGAGATTCACAAGATTACCTCAGGGCGCCTTTTATTAAACAGAAGTGTGTGCGTGTGGGATACCTATGGGACCCCCTAGAGAAAAACAACTTACACCTCAGTCATACATACATGTATATTTAAAAAAAAACGAAATTAAGGTTACAATAAAAAAAACAGAGGGTATAAGAAAAACCGCAGCGGAGCGCGTCAGAGCCGAGCTGATGGTGCTCGGTGCCTCCTCGTCTTCACTCCAGGAGGTTACTTCCTCTTCCGCCCGAGTCGGCTATTTATATTAGATATTGAGAAAAGTTCAACAATTGGTATTTATAAGTTTATAAGTAAGTACGTAACCCTTGGGTACGGCTGTCCGCTTGCGTCGTGAGCCGCGCAATCACCAGCTTGCCAGAGGGTACCGAGAAACTTGAGTCTGAACCAGAAGGCCACAAACGAGCAAGCACGCCGTCTGAGACTGACCGTCTTGACCCCGAAATCTGGGACCCTACGAATGGATTAGCACTCATATAATTAATCAGGTTCCAGAAACAAATAGGTAAAAAAAATATAAGACCATACTCACCACTCTAGTGGGTACTTTTGAACAGATAATATATTACGAAAATCAAATCACACAACAATCAAAACACTATTTAAGATTGGAAGACACGAGATAGCAGAGTGTCTCCCGTGGCTGAAAGCCGGGCTTATATATCTTCGGTTCTCGAAGCTTCCAGAAATTAACCCTACTCAACATTTTACTTTGACATTTAAATTACCGACGAGGTTAACACGACCAAAATCAACTCACTTTCTACCATACATACACATACTTTCAACTCAAAACAACTCGCTTTCTACCATAACAAAACACTCTCAATACCTATACAATTTGTCACGACAAATCAATACTGACTTATCCACAAACAAAACGCCATCTAGTGGTCCGACAGTGAACGAAGAAGATCAATACTGTAGTTATAAACTACTTTAGATAAATCAACAACAAATGCGACGCGGCCAATAGGTGTCGCTTTTAACAAGACCGTACGCATTACAAATATACTAAAAAAATAACTGTTACATTTGTTATAAATCATCCCAAAAAGCGGTGACCGTAACAAACAAGCATTTTCATAATATTTAAATTTGAATTCTATCTGTGCTGATAAATGGTAACCTAAAAAACGTACAATGTTTACCTAAAAACTTAACTTTATAAAGGGTGGCTAAAAAGCACAGATGTAATGGTGTAATGAAAAGTAGATCCTGTGTGATAGTTGAAATCGTTTCATTCACCCATTCATTAAACATAAAGATGCATAAACAAATCCAATGCAAATTTAGTTTTGAAAACCCTATTTAATAAACTAAAAAGTAATGTTTGTTTGCATTTATTAAGCTTTTATTTATTTAATTGTTTATGCATAAATAACAATTGTACAATGGGGTACTTACTGCCATTTTCGCAATTTATAGAATTAATACTCTCCAGCTGCTATTCAAGAGTACGCTGTTTGTTGATAGCTAAAAAATCTCTTCCTTTTACTTACTTTTTAATTTATAGTTGCATACAATTTGCTTGGTTAAGTTTTAAACTAAATATCATGCTCATAAATTGTTTAAACTTCCTTACACAAAGGCGTTAAATAACAAGAAAAAGATTCATAACACAATATTAAAAATCCTTACTCATGTTTACAGCAAAAAGAAAGGATGATTCATAATAATAGCTTGTTGCATTCTTGCTGAGGAGTAACCAGTAACGAACATAACCTATCTTAAACTAGGTTTTATAAGGTAGTATATCTCATAATAAGTCTACTTCAGTCTTCGATCATAATAAGTGATCGAAATATGCAAAATTATGCTAGCTTTGTATTTCCCTGATGACAATGACGTAAAACTATTTAACCCAACTTATAAGTACGCTTAGCATAGGATAATAATATTCAGTTATACGTATATAGAATGGACCAGCAGCACCCCTTATTAGGTCGTCATGATACGTTATTCTTTTAACCTAAAATTTCAGTCTAGAAGGAAAACAGCGTTGTTTTTATACTGTGGGCTAAGTAATTAAATAGGGAAAATTCTAATATAACTCATTCTTATCAGTTCGGGGATTAGTCCGAACTATAACAATATGTCATACATATTAATATAGTTGCGATGTACTCAATATTCAAACTACGTTTTTCATAACATAGTTTGAATATTGCGGCTTTCATGGGTCTCAATAAAGTGGATTCACATAAAGTGCCGCTATTAATAAACGATAAGAGAGGTGTTATAGTACATTTTTTTAGCATCAAATAAATATTCCAATGTCAGATTTTCTCGAAAACTCGGGTTAGCGTCTGGTAAAAATAGTTCGTAATCGTTATATGTAAACAATTTACCTATCTTTTCAATATTACTTTATTTAGAAATTAAATAAAAGTTAGGTTAAATATTACACAAACACACATATCCTACTTTCCTTGCAGTGTTCTTACTAGATTTTAATGACTAGGTTGTTTTCAGGTATTTTTTATTAGTTGACAAAGAGCATAAAAAAGTGAGCCTCTCTTGTCATGTAACGTTATTTCGTACCATTTGAGTATGTAGGTAGACCCACTTATTATTATGTGTATATACCTATATAAAAAGTAAGATTGTACATTGTACCTGTATTTAAGGCTGTTGATGATGATGATGATGATACCTATATATTAGTTCGAGATCCTAGGCCCTAAGTTTCTACTGTATGGAATAGAATAACCTATAATAAGAAGTACACTTACAATATATTGCAAAAACTACTAACACTTTATTATTTAAAATAGCCTGTGACCTTCGTCAAGAAACAAACTATTTTCCTAAAAAAACCCATCTAAATCGGTTTAGCGGTTATTGATTCCCCATACAAACTTTCACCCCCGTTTTACCCTCTTAAAGGAGGATTCCTGCAATAAAAACTATTCTATGTCCTTTCCCGGGACTCAAACTATCTCTATACGAAATTTCATCAAAATAGGTTTAGCGGTTTTAGCATGAAGAGATAACTGACAGACACACTTTCGCATTTATAATTTTAGTATAGATATAAATAGTATGGATATAAATAGTTTGGATGTAAATGTATTTTTCTATTTCAATGTAAGACTCCTTGGGTCTATTTTAGGGCTCACATCCCGAGTCAAAGCAAACTTTATTTATAAATTTTATACATCATGCACATTTGGTGCACTGGCGGACTTAATGCCTGCGTTATTCTCTACACGTCAACCAGTGAGTGATGCAGAGGAAACAGGATTTAGGTGCATTTTGGTTGGTTTTTTGAAATATACAAAATGACTAGTATATCAAATACACATAATACATAAACCTATCATACATTGCAGCCTATATACATAAGTACGCACTTATACCGCAATACATTCAAACTTACATAAAAATACATACCTACATACTTAAATAGATTTTATAATATTAGATAGATTAGATAATTTAATAATATTGGATATCAATTATGTGGAAGTTGATTCTGCCAGTTATTTAACAGGTTACTGCTTTACTTTTGTTTATAATGAAAAAGTGTTGGTGTCCATCCTGACTTCGATTGGAAGCTCATTACAAAGAAGAACGGATTAAAAAAAAAAAGGTTGAGCCAACAAACTCAAATGTACGGGTGGGACAACGAAGAAGGTTATAAGAGAACCGCAGGTTTCTGTCATGATTGCTACATTAAAGTAGGGAGGTAGGTTATTTAGGATAATGTATAAGACAGTGAGAGCGCATAGCTTGCGTCGTAATCGAATTGGTAGCCAGGTTGTTTGGAAAGAGGATACATGATAATATTTACAAAGATTATAAGTAAATCGAATACAGTTATTAAGATCACGTACTAATTTATCGAGAAGATCTGCATTCAGGTTATAACAGCACGAGTACATCTCAGATATTTAATAGTATGTTGTAATGTGCATCACAAACTACATGTTACTATACAGTATAGTCCATCCTACGGTTGATTGTAAGAGCCCCCATTGTTTTATTTTTTGTTTTCTCTACTGTTTATTACCAGTTAATGGTGGGCAATAAACAGTACCTATCTAGCTATGACATCATTTGATAGTACTTATAGATAAAAGTACCGATACTATTACATATTCTATGCTAATACTCGTATATTTAATCACCTTGTTTATTGCTGAAAGTTAATACATAAGGAAGGAGTGCAGAGGTCGCAGTTAAACGAGGGCGGGTAAACTCTCGTAAATGCAACACGAACTCCCATTGTGGTAATGTACGGTTCATGTCGCCCAGCGAGGGGCCAATAGCTAATCATTTCGGTCACTTAACTGTTACTAGCATCCGAAGAGTGATTACCAAAGTATGCAATCAATTGAGTGTACATTTGCTTTTAAAGTACCGCTCCTTTGACTTTCGGTTATATCTATCACTAGCTCTTTCTAGCGGCTCCGCGTGTATGTGTTAGTAGTAGCCTTTGTTACTCGCTAGTTACCTATGTAGCTTTCCATTGTTATTATTTTTTCAATCGGTTTAG